TATGTATATATACACACTATATAGAATATTCTATTATGAATATACTTTATTGATACATAAAAATTTATACAATGTAATTAAGAATAAGATGAAAAATTGGAAAATGGCTGTGAAACTTGGCATATAATAATCTTTTTTTCGTAAAATCTCAATATCAAATGAATTACAGGATTGGTATTAAAAGCGAATGTTCAATTATCAATAATATCAATCGATGCTTAAATTTCTTTCGAGGAGCCGGCTAAATTTTAATCGCGATACTTAATATAAAAATTTGTAGGCTTCACGAATGAAGGAAGATCTCCGATAAATAAGGTCTACAATAGTTTAATTTCAACAATAACGAATATTCATAGCTTTACTATATATTTATGAACTCAAATATAGATGAGAAGGCAAAACCTCTGAATTCTTCTTACAATCTCAAGAAATTATTCTACTCGTATTTATCACAAAAGATATCATTGTCAAATACTAAAAATGCTCTTCGTGAAATTTATGTCGTATTTCGTATGTGGTGCCCATCATGTACATCGATAAATCAGTAGGCGAAACGAAAGAACGGCAAGGAGTAAAGGAGCTTCGAAGCTTTCCGATGCCGTCGATGTTGATAAATACGAAATATTTATCGTGCATGACACACTAACACATACCACCGAGCCAATAAGCAAATATTCACAGCTGTATAAAGTCAGTCACGTATGGCGAATTTATTTTAATTAATTAAGGAGCGCATCAAGGCTCGCTTTATTTTCTCTTCTAAATAATAATACATTGGTCTGTTAATTTTGCATGGGCGGGTACCCAATACATTAAAATTAGAGAAAAATACTCTATATTTAACATTGGACGTTGAGCTGAAAAATGATTAATTCCTCAAATAAGAATGATTACATCAATGTTTTATCAGATTTTCAAATAATTTTAACGTATTTACAAGTTAAAAAGCTACATAATACATATCATTAGTCAAACAGTCCCTGACTTATTGCGTTTAGTTATTTTTTACAGGCGTTGCTTATCCGCTTTACGGAATGACACATTACATCCGCACGCACTAAGCACTTTGATCGTTAAAATTTGATAAATGCAATTTTATTTTAACACTAATCAATTTTAGCAATAAACAGCAATAGGAAGCGACAAGCTCTTACGATCTGCGTGTACGAATGCTTAAATAACTTCATTTTTAAACTTCATTTTTAAATTGCGTTCAGCTGAAAATACTGGCGGTGGCGGCGGCGGCGGCGGCGGCGGCGGGGGAGGGGGGCTCGACGAAACTGAACGACAAAAGGTTAAATACCTATAATTTGCGACCCATAAAAGGTCCCTGGCATATCAACAATATAAGCGAGAGTCCTCTCGTTGGCCTGAACAATTTCGAATGTAAATAGGACGAGGGCGAATTAATTGGAATTAATCACTATTAGCCACCTGAACAACCCATTCAACTTATCTTCCTCGAAGCGAGGTAAAGTAGCAGTGAATTAAGCGCTAATAATCGTAACGGTTAAAACGAGTGTGTGTGTGTGTCACCTCCCCCACCCCCTGCCGGATTCGCGCGTAACCCCCACCACCACTACCGCCACACTACCACGTTATCGAGCGCGATCGGAGCTTGACGAGCTTACGGGTAATCGACGAGACTGGGCCTCCAGGGCCAATGAGAGCGAGGCTCTGTTCTCGATGCCGTGTGGCCGTCGAATTGGAAATCGCGCCCACCGGCTGCTTGCCTCCTGACTGACATCTCCCTGAATCTCGCGCAAACGCGTACACGTGGCGCGCGCGCACCTTTTCGCCGCCGCCGCCATCGGCAGGGCCTCTCCGTCTCACTCTCGCCCCCGACGACGCCAATCGTCCACTCCTATCCCGTCCCGTGCGTGGCACACATAGGCGTATTCCCCGGAGGAGTCGGGCCGACCGAGCGCAAGAACGCGCGCGCGCCTCGTCGGTATTAACCTCCTCCAAGCTCTTGCAACCCGAGACCGAGACGTCGACATCTGTTTGGCGGCGTATGAGCGATTGACGCCGTGAGTGCACGCGAATTTTGCCGTCGTGGGACTGATGAGAGAGGCGCCGATACTGCAAGATGAAATGGTTAACGATAGTGCTGGTATTGTCGCTCGCCTGGAGTCGTGTACATTCGTATTTCATCACCGTCGATGCGCATTCGGAAGAGTGCTTTTTCGATAAAGTCGAGTTCGGCACGAAGATGGGTTAGTTTGGCTTGGGTTTGGCTAGTACCAACTAATATACATTACTTATATTGATATGTTGTCTGTCGCCTTGCAGGACTCACGTTTGAGATAGCGGAGGGAGGTTTTTTGGATATCGACGTGAGAATCGTTGCCCCCGATGGTAAAGTTATGTATAACGGGGAGAAGGAGAGCAGCGGTAAATTTACGTTTGCTGCGCACACACCTGGCATGTATACTTATTGCTTTACCAATCAGAAGGGCACCATGACGCCCAAGGTCGTTATGTTTAATATGCATATTGGAGAGATTCCAAAGTCGGGTGGTGAATTGGCAGCGGGTGAGTCACCGGAGGGTGAAAGCGCTAAGCTGGACGATATGATTAAGGAGCTTAGCACTAGCTTGTGGAGCGTTAAGAACGAACAGGACTATATGCAGGTATAATATGCAGTTGGCGGTGCGGAGAAGCACCATGTTAGCCAGTACGATCGCTAGTATTATTAATTAATCGTGTGTATTTGTGTTTATTAGGTACGAGATCGAAATCACAGAGCGATTAACGAAAGCACAAACTTCAGAGTGGTCGTGTGGTCGTTTTTCGAAGCCACGGCATTAGTGTGTATGACTCTAGGACAAGTGTATTATTTAAAAAGATTCTTTGAAGTAAGGCGAGTGGTGTGATGTATTGTAAAATAAATACTTGATATTTGTTGCCCTAAGACTATTTTACAAGTCATTTTTTGTATATTACGATAATTACGAGTAAATGGTGTTTTCAATAAAAAAATATTATCATTCTTGTATTAAATGCTTGTTTTACTTTTGCATAACTCATTATACTTAAATTTATACTTATATACAATTACAACACTTCATATTTGTAGCTCACACCGTCCAAGGCTTTAGAGATTTTTTCATGTGCCAAGCGAACTTGTGTTTGTATGTCTTTGGTTCGGATAATATCAATCCACCTTTTTTTAAAGCAGACAAAAGTACTTTGTGCTTCCTACTCCTTTCTGACTCGATATTACAATGAATTTGCGTTATGCCACTTTCTAAGCATCTTTGGGCTAGAATTCTTCCAATATTTGCGTAAGCCGCTACATCGTAAGTCCTGTTTAAGAAATATTTCGCATTAATAGATACGGTAAGCGATATAGTGTAATGTTGTTAATGCCATATAATAACGAGTTGTTTCACGATGTTGCTTTGATATCGATTGAATGTTAGATTAAATTATATTACGATAAACTTAATAGATATATTGACAGTCAATTTTTAGACTTAGTTATGAAAATTATATTTAAAGGTAAGAATTTCAATTGATATGATACTTTGTTTTTTCGTGATCTACTTCTACATAATAGTTATACTAAATAACAGTTGTATAAATTATTTTATTTATTTACCTATACAAAAACTTTCTTAAACACCAATCCGAAGACGATACTTTAATTACAGGACCATTTCTGAAATGATGTATTTGAGCTTCTACGCTTCGTTTTGTTTGCAATACTACTAGTCTAAAAAAAAATCAACAAAAACAATAAATAAAGCAATAAATGACTCTTTAAATTGAAATTAAATCTTTCAAATTATTTTATGTTTACGAATTACGACCATACTTATTCCAATAATTAATACCACTTCGAGGATTATCCAAAGTATAACCTTCTGGTTTTCTTGCAATTGTCATTAATTCTAAATTCCTTGGATTATTGTTTCTTATTTCGATGCAATTAGCAAGTAAATTAGCATTCGTTTCGACGTGTCTTACAGCGATTACACTCTTTACATTCACGCAACGGAATTTTTTAATTAAATTATTCATTTTTAATGTTAAAAACAGCGGCCAGCGACCTTAATAAGAGAGCAAATTTTATGAATATCGAAACCTAGCGAGATTGATTTTTAAATTTTATCCATAATAAGTACAGCGTCTGCAATAACTCGTTAATTAAAAATCAAGACCGACTGTGAAAGACAGGTTTTTCTCGTTTAAAAGCCGATTGTTACGGACTTGCGGCCATTGCAATTACCATTGGTTAACCATGAATATTGCACTTTCTGTGATCTACAGTTTACTTCAAGCTATTTCTATACGATATAAACATTTATTCGATTATTTGAAGTTGCGCGTACACAACGTGGACAAAACATTGATTTACCACTTTACACTCGTTTAATATATAAAATGATACTGACCTGTGTTTCGACAATAATGATTTTATCGCTTATTAGTAACAAAAAGGTTAATTGAGAAAAAATGAAAGAAATACATTGCCAAACTTGATGGATAAAGGGCAATATTATTTATAGCTATAAGAGTCGTAATTCTTTACTTTTATTTACCCATTAATTTTTTTCTAATAAGCCACATAAATATTACGTTGTATGTAAACACTCGTTCAGCTTATTTCACGCCATCAAGGTACGAAGGTACGTACGTACGCACGCACGCACGTAAAATTCAGATTATTTTTCAAACAATTTTTTACATTACGATTTGTTGGTGTTAAATTATTGTTTATTGTTAACAGGATTTTTATTCATTTTTATAATAGAGTTGTAGGCACGTAATGCGATGACAATGAATAGAAATGAAATATTTACACATAAATGAAACGCTTATAGCCGAGTCGTCAATTATTAGAAAATCTCGGAAATTTAATAAATCTATTGACAATTATGAGTCTTATGAGAGGAAAGACAAGCAAGGAAAATGAGTCACTGATTAATAGAAATATTCTAGATGATAAGAAAGAAAATGATAACAGAAATATTAAGGATTCGCAATATATAACACCTGACATAGTTCTTGGCTTGCCTACAATAACAGACAGTATGTAAAATATATATTAATAAATATGTAAAATAAAATTAATAAGCGATTGACAGATATTGTATCGTCTATTTTTTTTATAAATTTTGTTCTTAGATTATCTTTGCTCATCCGAGGCAAATACTTATGATATTGACTTTACCAGATTTCAAATACGTGATCTCGAAACTGGAACGATACTTTTTGAAATTTCTAAGCCACCGATAATAGGTATTGGAAATGAAATTTATTTACAAGACTCGTAAGAATTGCAATATTGATACCAAAACTATGAAGTAATAATGCCTACAATATTATTTTAGAGGAAGAAAATTATTTTAAAACATCAGCGTCTATACCCCAAGATGCTAGGATCGATGCTAATGCAGGAAGATTTGTACGTTATCAATTTACACCTCAATTCTTAAAGCTAAAAACAGTAGGAGCAACGGTAGAGTTTATGGTGGGGTCACGCCCAGCAAAAAATTTCAGAATGATAGAAAGGCACTTTTTTAGAGATAAATTATTGAAGACATTCGACTTTGAGTTTGGATTTTGTATACCAAATAGTAAAAATACTTGCGAGCATATTTATGAATTTCCAGCACTTTCACCGGAATTGGGTAACTATTTTCTGTAAAGCGCGATTGTTACAAAAAATTATTTGTATTAAAAATATTAATGATAATCATTGTTCGACATTTAGTTGCCGAAATGATAGAAAATCCATTTGAAACAAGATCCGATTCATTTTATTTTGTGGACGATCAACTTGTTATGCACAATAAAGCCGATTATGCATATAACGGTGGTTTAGAGAAAAAAAAACTTGGTCCAATAAGTATTTTAGAATAAAAAATTTTAACATATAATGGATAAAACAAGTTGAAGACATTATTTATCTATTGATAAACAAATTTCGCTTACATAAATTTATTTACATGTACATATTATATACAATTGTATACTAAGTAAATATTTATTTTTATCATCATGGATGATATTATTATCTTTTAAATTATTTTTTAAAATTTATCTTAATTATTTACATGTCTAACTCAATATTATTATAACGACAAATGTGTTTTACTCGTCGGTTCTGAGAAGAAATAATCTAAATTAAAAATAAATTAATTTGATAAATCTTTTTGTAACATCGTATTGGATTAAGCGTTAATGATCAAATATACAAAAAGTAAGAGATTTATATAATTTAGGCAAGTATAGAAAAGTCGTTCAAAATGAATTTTCGATTTATCCTAATACTAATGAACACATTGGAGCGTTTCCATTTATATTATATTTATCTTATAACTTTTAATCGGTAATAAAAGTAGTTAAGCATTTAAGAAATTCAGATGGCTTGTCTGCGTGTACCCAGTGTCCAGCACCAGTTATGTATTGAAATTTAGCAAAGGGAAATATAGTTTTTATAAGCGAATGATCCGACTCTTTCAGATAATCGCTTTCACTTCCTCCAATAAATAGCGTTGGCCCATTATATGCTTTATTCTTTTCAAGTGGAAATACTGCTATTCTTGTGGGAAAATTGTCTTCTAAAACCTTAAGATTTAGGCGCCATTTATACTTTCCCGGTTCTGCTTCTACAAGATTGGTCAGCAAGAACTAAAAAATTACCTTACATTATTTTACAAGAATAAATAGTATAATAACTAATCTATTTAAATACATTAGATATTTGTCTTTTAAAATCAAACAACAATTATTTTAGAAAAATAAGAGTTACTACGTTCAATTCGAATTACCTGGCGAATGGGATTTGATTTTATGGAAATTGATAATTGTTTATCGGCTAATTTTCGAGCCTTCGACAATGATAATATGCCATCAAGAGATACCGCATGCATTGCCTCAAATAACTTGATCATGGCAACGAGGCTAGGACTAGTTTTAATAGGGCTAAAGTCAACCACAATGATCTTTTCCACTATTTCTGGATAATTAAGTGCGGTATACATAACTGCTCCTCCACCCATGCTATGACCTACCAAAATAACTTTCTTTATTTCTAGATCTCGCAAAAGTAGCGCAATATCTTCGGTCATATGATAATACGACATTTGGGAAGCGTGTGGTGAATCCCCATGATTTCTAGCATCTATCGCAATAACCTATAGTAATAAAGATTAAATTTTGTTTTATCAACGATTGTAAACGATGAGACTGACATTCAGAAATTAAAAATAATTTTTTTTGTTTCTATCCACCTTTCTATTTGTTTGTTGATGTATACTCTTTGATAAACTGTTCCAATTACTTTTGGATCCAAATAGTCCATGCATTATTAAAATTGGCGACTTTGGAGATGATTCTTTCATTTCTTTTGTCGATTCATACGACGTATAAGCTAACTTTACAGGTGTTTGACTGTCGAAGAAATTTCAATTAACTAATATTTATTTCAACTTTTAGCGAATTCATTAAATTACTTACCCTGCATGACCATTTGATATTCCTCTTTCCAAAAGAATTGTATTTAACCTGCGTGGCAATAAATAAAGTCTTGAAGTACATTTCTTCAAAATCATGATAAGACTGTTTAATCTTATTAGCCAAGACGAACAAGTTTTATTCTAGAATATGTAACTGTAAAAGACCATCAAATATAGAATTCTCATTAAAACATTTTGAACGATTATAAACACAAAATTTTTCGTAAGAGCTAAAACATATTTCTCAATATAGCAGACGACATTTCACCGTAGGTAAAACAGTTCACAACAGTGATATAAATGTGATATTGGTGACTCGAGGTTTTTCGACAATCACTTCATCTGTAATATTTCAATGAACATGTGAAACTATTTAATTGAAATAATTATATTATAAACAAATATTTTCAGTATTATCGATAAACTGTCAACTATTATAATAATTACAATTCAAACTGCCATGGCTACCAATGTCACGTATCTATAAATTGTATGCATGCGACCTTATTACATGTCACAATATTATATAATAAGCGATTTACTCGCAAACGACATAATACACGAGCACGAAGAGGCTTTAAAAAAAAAAAAAAAAAAAAAAAAAAAAAAAAAAATCATTGCTCGAAAATAATATACAATATTCATGATTGATTTTAATTAAAAATTAATTTCCTTACGAACTAATCTTCCACTTGGCAGCAGCACATCGTGTTACGTAAGCGCGGCGGTAAAAGCTCTTATCTCATAAATAAAATAGTACCAATTTGGCATAAAGGTATTTTCAAAATTACAGATAATCGTATATTATTAAATTTATTACCCAAATATTGAAAAATCTTGCGATTCACAAGATCTTGATCGCATTTCAACTAAAATATAATAAACGAAAGTATCAATTTACCCATGTAGTATGTGCGCGAAAGTCAAAATATAACAAAATCACCAACCTTGTTATGGATTTTAGCCAAGTGACCGCATAATTAGGCATTATTGAGTTCAACGCTATCTCGGCTCGGATTACAGTCTACGCTCGACACTCGCTCGCCCCTACATAATACAAATAATAATTGAATTCTTGCAACCTAATAGCAGCCTATTAGGTATAGCAGTACGAAGACTATAGGTATCGGTAAAAAAAAGTAAAAGCAAACTCAACGATAGCTAAATTTCGTTTGAATTCTAAAAATCAAACTATTCGCTTTAGTCGTATACGCAAGTAAAAGAAAAATGTTGGCCTCGATAAGATTCCTAGCCAATTGAGAGCTCGACACGACAGCTCAGCTCGAGACTACCTTGACTCTTGCGAGCCTCGTTTATATTCGTTTTTTCTTGCTCAATACGACTGCACGCATTTCTTAGAATACTTCTGGGGATTCTTCGATCATCGATCTTGGCCAACAACTTGGTTGCGACAGTAATTTCATTGTATCGGCAACTCGCTGCTCTGCTGCATTTTTCTTTTAACGAGCAACGGGATTTTAACAGCACCATTTGACTACATTGGCTTTTTATATCTTTCAACGAATTCATAATAATTAATTGCCCCTATACACCGTACTTCAGTCTATTTTATCGAATCGAGCTGCATTATATTGTAAAACCAGTGCAAGAGAAATAATATAGCCGTTTCAATTGACATAAGATAAAATAATAATTAAACGTCCGATTCTTTTAATTTGTCGTTATGCTGGAATTGTCTTGCATTGGAAAGACTTCCTTGGCAATTGCACTATGTATTGGTAATGAAATCTTCTCAACGAGCTTTGATGCTCTGGGTTGCGTGTAATGAAAGAGCAAGTCCTTACGTAACGACGATAATGGTAAATTAAATTATGCAACGGGAGCGCTCCGTTGTAACTGTCGATAATCAGTTCAGCAAGGCCGAGACGTAACGATTGTCCCTATTGTTAAATATCCTTTTTCTTCTTTTTTTCTTCTCATTTGTCGTGGTTAAAATAGCCGCTGAAAGTAGCATATCGACGTATGTGATTTTAGAAAACGAATCGTGGAGATGAAGTCGGCTTGTAGATGATATTATCCATAAAAATCTGATGCGGCCAATTCTACATTATTTTATGTTTAGCTTTACGTTCCCGATTTATCAGGCAAAAAAAAAACAAAAAACACAAACAAACAAACAAAAAAAATTGATTTTATAAATAAGTCTCGGAGCTATTTATCTATTTCGGACTCATGTATCGACAGTCTTTGCTGTCATCGGATTTGTAAAAATAACGTCGCGATGAGAAAAATTGTGCAAGTAGACAATTGTTTTATCTATCGACTAAACTAAGATCAATGACCTTAGTCTTCGTCTTTTAATCATAATCATAGCGTAAAATACTTTACATATTTATTAGGACTTTTTCCATAATAAGTCATTCAATCATTAATATAGTATAATATGTTATGCAATGTTATGTCGAAAATCAATCGTTGATGAATCAAAGCAATTGTTGATACAAATTTAAAAACCTTTTACTAAAACATAATGCTGTTACGGAATATCATAATTATTTATGTAATTTGTACAAATTCATTTGAAAATATATACGAACAATAATTTGCTTTTCTTTAATATACAATTATTTGATGGTAATATATTAAAGAATATAATAAAGTAGTAGATCCTATAGAATAACCTATAGAATTTTCTAAAAGAATTATTTATAATTAAACTAGGTTTAATTTATAAAACAAAACATTTGCAAAGAAAAACGAAAGAACAAAAAAATATATTACAACATTGTACATCTTTTAAATGTTATGCTTCCATATTTTATACAACCAAAACGTAATTCAACAAAACTAACATTTTGTTTGTTTCGCTTTAGGTATGAATCTATTTAAAACTCCATAAGATTTCTTCTGTAATTCGATCTTTTTTGTATCTATAAGAGTCTTCGCCTGGCGCATTGCCTCAATAGCCTCCTAAAATGTAAATAATAATAAAGTGTAATACCTCGATGATATATTTAAAATAATCCAATAAGAAATTATACTAACTCGACGAGCTAATTCCTTTAATGCTTTTTTAGACTTAACGATCTTGGCAGTGCCACCTTTTCCTTTAGCTTTGGACCTGCGTGGCTTAAAGTCAATTGTCTTTGGCTTAATAAACTGAAATTACATTAAATTTTTTTAGGCGAAAATTCGAACAAATATTTTACAAATATCATCATGAAGAAGTGTAAAGGATCATCCTACCAGTAATTTCTTTTTCTCTTCAACCTTCCTTTGTAATGTCGGTACATCAATTTCAGCTATCGCAGTCGTATCCAAAGTAATAAGTTCAGGCTGAATTTTGTCGAGCAATGCTTTAACTTCCGCTTCTCTTCTTTGCTTCTTCGTTTGGTATGGATTTATTTCAAGTGCATCAAAGTTAGCTTCGGCACATCCAGGTACAAGAATCGACGAGAGTCCTTTAGCAGTGCCAAATCCTAAAGCATCTTCGTACGGACAAAATTGTAAATCTGATATACTCCAATTAGTCTTATGTCGAGTATAAGGCTTAAAGTCATTATTCGTATCGCTTTAAACAAATATAAAGATATTTAAACATATGAATACATTTCATTTGCGGTATTAAATTAATCTAATGACAAATAATACCTGAACACTTCAACAACATTTCCCATTCCAACAGCCAACAAACCGCTTTGGCTGTACGATAAATTTTCTGCTGTAGAACGTAAAATTGAACTGTGAACCGGCCCTGCTAACTGCCTTATGTCCCACACTTTAAGTGTTCGATCTGGAGAACTTGTCGCCATATATGTACCGTATGGATGTACCGCACAAGCTGTTATAGCTTGTTTATGGCATAACATTTTCGCTAACGGTTGTTGCACATTTGGCGACCACATTGATACTACTCCTTTCGAATCACCAACGCATAATAAAGCATTATATGGGTTTTGAGTCATTACCTAGAAAAACGAAGACCTTATGATTTTAATTTTTGCTCATACTACTCTATAAATACTTTTATAAATTTTCCATGGCATTTATACAGTTTTTATAGTTTATTTATCTATCAAACTTGTAAAAGGTGAAAATTGATTAATATTCAGTCTGTTAGTATTGTATCCAATATAATTTGACCTTTTTTTTTTTTTTTTTTTTTTTTTTTTTTTTTTTTTTTTTTTTATTATTATTATTATTATTATTATTATTATTATTATTATTCAAACATACCACAATAAATATTAAAAATCTCTAAAAAAAATGTTTACATACATATTGTAAGAAACTCTTTTAAATATGGATCAAAGTTAGATATTTTATATTCTGCATTCGATTAAGATAATGCAAACTTTAAAGACATCAAATTTTAGTCAAACGTGCACAATAATTTAATCCTTTATATTATGATGGCGATTGCTCTTTTACATTTACATAATTTTTTTTTATATAAGTAATTAATCTATAATATTCGTGAAAATATTTAATTAAAATTAAAAATCAAGAGTATTAATTGCCAGCTAATTATCTAATTTTGTTAATCCTACTAAAAGCTGTGATTATAATTGTAAAATTATTTACGTCTATTTTTCCAATTTTTGAATCATAACGAGAAATAATTTTGCCAATGGAAATATCGAGCCAAGTAAGGCCACCAAGCGACGACGACGAAGCCAAGAGAAAGTGATAGGGTAGAAATTCTAAACGCGTAGCTCGATTCATTCTTTTGAGACAATGAAGTTCGATTCCTTGATTATCGTAGATGTAAACCCAATCTTTCTGCGCCACTGCAAACATCGTTTCTATGTGCAACCAACAAACATCGTGAACTGACTCCATGACATTCATTTCGCAGGCTAATTTTTTTGTAATCCAATCAAACGCTGCGACGTGCCCTTTCTTACCACCTACAACGAGATGCCTTCCATTGCGCGTGTACCTAAAAATGTTCTTTTACCATTAATTCCCTCCTACTCCTCCCAAAAACAATCTTCAAAATTAATCTCCCTTTTACCTCAGACTGTAAGGTCCAAATTCTAAATTCAATTCAAAATACTTTGTCGCGCTTGTAATATCGATATTAGAAACGATTTCGCTCTGTTTAAATTGCGTGGTCGTCTCTCCAGGATCCTTTTCCAAATAGCCATGAGTTTCGGTCAACAAAATTTCAGTGCGAGCAGCTTGCTCGGCCATACTCTCAATGAGATTTTCCTTTTGTCGTAGCCTTTGCCTGTGAATTTTATTTTTAATTCCCATCTTTAAATTTACTCCTGTTCCTCGTCTGTACTTTTCCATCTTCTTCTCATCGATGGGAACTTTGCGCTTCGTCTTCTTACCTTTACCTTAAAGACGAAAATCTTTTCATGCGACATAATATACACACGAGGCGCCTGAGTTTTTTCATCAACCCAGCATGATTTTAACATTAAATTAAAACATAAATATTTAAAATAATACAGTTAAATACAAACCTGCTCCTCTACCCATCTTAACGAATTATTCCAACCTTATCGATTTCAACAAATATATATCTATATTTATCTATATGTATCTATAAAAATGCAATTCCTCGAAAATTATTGCCTATTATTAAAAACAAATTATGAAAAAAAAAAAACAAAAACAAACAAGCCCCGGCTCAGCAACAATGCGGTTATCTCATGCTGCGCTTACAATTGTTTCGTCAGTACACTGTGCACACTGTGCCAGCTTGAAAACACACACACGCGCGCATGGACAATGGGACTTTTAATACTCGTAGAGGACACTAGTTGATCATTTCGGGGGGAGCGACCAATGACGAGGACGGCGCCGAGGAATTTTTGCCGTGGATTGGAATATGGATGGCCGTCGGTGCCGCTGGACCAACGTAAAGCGGTTGGTTGCTTAGAGGCGCCTCTATTGCCATCCGATCATTAATGCTCGAGTCAGTTTGTACTTAACGTTAACTTTACGGCGAGGGTAGTCGAGCGACCGGTTATATTAGGTTCAGTAAGATTCGCTTACTTAACCGACCGTTGTCGTTTCAAATAATTATTTATTCTTTTAATAATAAGACGGCGTGTATGAAAAATGACGAATAATGACAAGTGTTACCCTCCACCGCAAGAAGTGCAGGTAATGATTATTGGACGGGCGAATAAAAATGCAGTGGGTTATTGTTGAATAGTATGCATTCGAACCCGCCAAAATAACTGTGCCTGACAAATGATTTGAATTTTACTATTAACGAAGCTTTATTTATGTTTGTGATTTTAGGACTTTCTATTTAAACAAGCGAGCACGAGTCAGGTGTGCGAAGAATTTTCGGATATACCGAGAAATGCCAGCCTTGTTGCAGCAGATGGGAAACGCGGTTTGTTATATATGGGACATGAGAATAAATTGATTGTTTTAAAGCCCAAAGCTGACGCAAGCCCGGAATGGAAATTTGAATTAAATTTGGACGACAGGATATATAAGATTGAATTAAATTGCGACTGTTCGTTATTAGCTTTAACATTCAATCGTTTTATGGCTTTCATTTATGATATTAGTTGCGTTAATAAGCACGTAAGTCTTTCTGTACGATAGTACAATTAAATAGTATCTTAATCGTTTGGCGTTGCAGCAAAAATCTTTTGCCTTTTACAGAAACTGAATTTACTGCATAAAATCAGATTGTCGCCGAACAATACGGACCTCATTGTATACGATATGAAATGGAATCCGGCGATTCCTGAAATGTTGTGTTGCATTACTAGCGACCATACGATCAGTTGTTTTCAAATAAGTAAAAACAAAAGCGAAAATGTTCAAATTGTAAGACTGGAAGGATCACCGGAACTCGAAGCCCTTTGTGTCTCTTGGAGCCCTAAAGGCAAACAAATCGTGGTGGGATGCAAAAATGGAAATATCATTCAACTGAAACCTCAATTGAAGGTGGTGAGACATTTGTCAGGGCCTACTCCAAGCCAAGGAATGATAATATCAATCTTGTGGGTTAGCAATTACCAATTCTGCGCCTGCTACTATAATTCCTCCGAACAATGCGCCAACGTAATGATTGTCGATGCACCCAAAGGCGTAACGGTTCCAAGATTTACAAATTACGAAGATATAACGTTCGGAAGTGGTTCCATCGATGACATTTGTTATTGTTTCGAACATATTGCAGAGTGGGGTATAATTATTGCGGGAAGTACTCACAGCAGCGAAGTGGCGGTCTTAGGTACTTGCGATAACGGAGGATCTTGGAGTCTCTGGCAGCTGATGGACGACAGCACCGTACAGTTACCCTTTAATAGGAAGACAGAAATTGAAAATTATCCCGTTGGGATGGCAGTGGACAAAGCCATTACACAAAAATTGCAATGGGGTACTGAAAATACATTGCCAAATTCAGTTCCTGTTTTAAGAATCTTAGCTACGAATGGTCAGCTGTGCAGCTATCACATGGTAAATTTGAAAGATAACGCTGCAGCTATTTGCACATCGCCTGTCGAATTCATCCCAGCACCCGAGCTCCCAAGACCCAATCTCGGATCGTCGGAAGTTTCGTTTAATTTATCCACTGGAGCCACTAGCACGCCACGGGTAAAGCCAACTGTTCCCGAAATCCAAGACGAGAGGCCAAAATTGGCGACAAATGTTTTCGGAAATGCTTCTCCGAATCCCGTCTTCTCCTTTCTAACACCTGGCAATAAGGCACTACTCCCCCAAGTAGCACCCCAACCTGAAATTCAAGTTCTCGGCCCTCCAGATTCGACAGAATTGAAGATTGAAGGTAAAAGCGTTATCCAAGGGGATGTGAAAACCCATCAATTCCAACAGGATAAGGCGCCCAAGGCTGTTGCGTCACAAGCAGACGATCTAATAGCAAAGAACAAGCAAATTTTACCGACAATTAATACGCAGCCGGAAACGAAAGCCATTGGATCGTCACTGAAAGCCGATAACAAAATTGAGTTTAAGTCCCAAGCGGCAGCCTCGGTCGGCCAAACGGACACAAAGTCGACTAAGGAACTGCCAAAGGAGCTCCATCAACAGTCAGCCCAGCAACAACCTCAGCAACATCCAGATAATACGAAGTCGAAGGAAACGCCAACGTACGACGATGGGATTTGCCTACGCGCTTATTACGAGGAACAGGCTCGATTTGAAAAAGAGCTCAAGGGCAGATTCGACTTGCCAAATTGGGACTGCGGAACGGAAGAGGAGCGCAAGCAGCTCGTCAAAAAATCCAACGAAATCGATGACTTCCTTCGGGAGCTGAGAGAAACGACCAACAGCCTCGCCAGCGACATAGCCTACCTGAAAGCGTTGCTCCTGCAGTCGTTCGCCTGGATCGAGGAGACAAAGTCGAAAAACTCGGCAAGCAGCAATGCCAGCGTCAGAAGTCGCACCGAGGGTAACAAGCTCGCTGACCTCCAGAGGCTCTATTATTACACGCAATCGCAGCTTGTCCAAGCGACGAAGGTGCTGGACCTGGAATGGGCCGAGCACAACGATCGCGAAATATCGCGAATGAAGATTCCCAGCTTGGAGATGATTTATCAGAGCCTTCTCAGATACACTCAGATCATCGATCAAGAGAAGAAGAACCTCGAGGAGTTGACGAAGAAGTGGCGCAGCATCGGCCGGGCGAACGGGACCGTCCTCGATCAGTCGATGGCCAGTCTGAATATCTCCCAGTCGTCGAGTTTCCAAGCGGACGATACGGCCATCGACTTGCGCTGCAAACTCATTGCCAGCAATACTCGCAATCTCAGCCAGGAGAAGCAGACGAAGCTGCGGGATCTGCTTACGGAATCGATGCCGGTGATCATCCGCGCGGTCAGGCCCACGGCTGTACAAGATCGTCTGGAGGCGACGCTCTCGTCGCTGGCCTCGCTCAAGAGCGCCGAGGCCAGCCAGAAGACAAGCAAGGAGACCAAGTCTCCGGCTACCAAGGCAACCACTGGAGCGGCCAAACTCTCCAGTCAACAGGGCTCGCTCTCCTCGCTTAACAGCCTCGTCTCCGGGATTAGCAACGGTGTCTCGCCCTTGAGCAAATCACCCGGCTCCGTCGCGCCGTTCTCGTCCTTCGGTGCGAAACCGAAGCATAAGGAGGCCGTGGCTCAGATCGTTCTTAATCAGCCAAAGAGCCCGAAAGAGGGCTCCATCAAGCCTTCGGTTTCTAACGTGTCTCCTACCACTGTCGCCCTTACGACGAACAAGTTCACGAGCTTCGTCGCGCCAAAGTCGACGTCCAGCTTCGGCGCGATAACCTCTATCGCAGCATCGCCCAATTTTACGACCGTACCCAAGCTAGACACGAGCATACCTTTCAAGTTCTCGGTTAAGCCCCCCGAGCAGCAGCAGCAGCAGCAGCAACCGCAGCAGCAACAACAACAACGGCAGCAGCAGCAACAACAACAACAACAACAACAACAGCAGCAGCAGCAGCAGCAGCAGCAGCAGCAGCAGCAGCAGCAGCAGCAGCAGCAGCAGCAGCAGCAGCAGCAGCAGCAGCAGCAGCAGCAGCAGCAGCAGCAGCAGCAGCAGCAGCAGCAGCAGCAGCAGCAGCAGCAGCAGCAGCAGCAGCAGCAGCAGCAGCAGCAGCAGCAGCAGCAGCAGCAGCAGCAGCAGCAGCAGCAGCAGCAGCAGCAGCAGCAGCAGCAGCAGCAGCAGCAGCAGCAGCAGCAGCAGCAGCAGCAGCAGCAGCAGCAGCAGCAGCAGCAGCAGCAGCAGCAGCAGCAGCAGCAGCAGCAGCAGCAGCAGCAGCAGCAGCAGCAGCAGCAGCAGCAGCAGCAGCAGCAGCAGCAGCAGCAGCAGCAGCAGCAGCAGCAGCAGCAGCAGCAGCAGCAGCAGCAGCAGCAGCAGCAGCAGCAGCAGCAGCAGCAGCAGCAGCAGCAGCAGCAGCAGCAGCAGCAGCAGCAGCAGCAGCAGCAGCAGCAGCAGCAGCAGCAGCAGCAGCAGCAGCAGCAGCAGCAGCAGCAGCAGCAGCAGCAGCAGCAGCAGCAGCAAGTGTCCAATTCCTCTACAAGACTACCAGATTATAAGAATGTGACCTTTGAGCACTTCCCGAGCAAGCCATCTGCAGCGTCCGCAACCAAGGCCGCGTCAAGCCCTGTGGAGATAGTTACCGTTTCCTCGGCCCTTGCAACCACGCCACTACCCACGGCTGCGACCTCGTCGATCTTCAGTACATCATCATTGCTCGGTGGCCTGAACTCCGCCACCGCACCATCGCTAACCTTCAAGCCTGCACCTGCGGCCACGACCGCTGCACCTGTCGTCAGCTCTACCAAGTCCAGCAGCACTACATCCGCGACAGCTCCACTTGTGATATCCTTTAGCAGTGCTGCCTCCACGACACCTTCCTTCACATCGAGGTACGTCCCCGTCTACCACTTCTCTACCCATTCGCCATACCGCATGTTACATTATAGAATTTCAAATAGTTCTGCGCTACAAGTTGTTTGTCTATTTTCGATAAAACAAGCTGTGACTCGAGTATCAATTGAAAATTTGCCCAAACGTTGCGCATTTTTATTAATTCGGGGCATCCTCTTGAACAACTCTATGTCGTCATTGTAATACGTAATGCTGTTTGAGAATCAAGACTTGTAGAGCGAAAATTGCGCGATTATCGAGCAAAAAATTTTATCTCTATAACTTCAGTTCCCATTAAATAGCACGGAACGTACAAGAAAAGAAAAGGAAAGAAAGACAAGAAGCAATGAGAGAGCATTTCATTTTCATCTACCATTTTCATGTCGACCATTCGCTTTTTCATTCAATAAGAATTCATTATCTACGTTCTCTTGTAATATTGTATAAGAATGTCAATGATGCATCGCTTCGTCATTTAATCGATTTCCGCGTCTTATCGGTAAAATACAGTAGAGCGGAGCCTCGAGTTACTCGAGGACACTCTACGCCCGTTAAAACGACTATGAATAAATGCAGCGCATTATCTTTTCAGTTATTCTGGTATACTGGGATCGACGGCCTCCATGAGCTTTGGCCCGTCAGCCGCGGGAACATCCATCACACCGGCGTTTAGCAAGAGCTCCGGGACCACGGCCAGCAATATCTTTGGCGGCAGCACGACACCCGCGTTAATTTTCGGGAAGGCGGAGAGCGCGGCGTCGACGAGTTCGCCGAGCGCCGGCTCGTCCATCTTCGGCAATGCGGCTGCGGCAACGGCCACCTCTGGGCCGTCGGCCTTCGATCGACAGGCGACGTTGAGCAACGCAACCGGGAACAGCTTCTTCGGTACCAAGACGATAACGGCTACACCAGCATCCACGAGCTTGATATTCGGCGGCAGCAGCGGCAGCGGAGGCGGAGCACTGCCGATTTTCAGCACCACCGGTACTACTGCGCCCAAAAGCAGCAGCACCACTCAAAGCAGCGGCACGATCGTGCTCGGTGGTATTGGTAATACGACCCAGAGTGCCGACACTTCGATATTTAGTGTCAGTGGCAGTACGGCCCAAAGCCCCGGCGCCTCGATATTCGGAGGTAGCAGTACCACGACGCCAAGCAGTGGCGCCCAAGTGTTTGGAACCGGTATAATAACGCCAAGCGGCGGTGCTCAAATATTTGGTACCGGTGTCACCACCCAGACCAGCGGTGCCCAAATATTCGGTACCGGTGTCACGTCCCAAAGTAGCGGCGCTCAAGTATTTGCAGCCGGTGTCACCACCCGGACCAGCGGCGCCCAAATATTTGGTACCGGCGTCACGTCCCAAAGTAGCGGCGCCCAAATATTTGGTACCGGCGTCACGTCCCAAAGTAGCGGCGCCCAAATATTTGGTGCCGGTGTCACGACACCAAGCAGCGGTGCCCAAGTATTTGGTGCCGGTATGACGAGCCAGAGTAGCGGTACCTCGATATTCGGTGGTACGAGCGGTGCGGTTCAGAGTAGTGGTGCCTCGATCTTCTTTACCGGCAGCACGGCTCAGAGCGCCGGTACTTCGATATTCGGCAGTGGTCACGGCACGACGCAAAGCAGCAGCACGTCGGCGTCGTCGGTTTTCGGTGGCAGTGGTACCGCCACCCGGAGCCCGGCGCCTGCTTTCGGTAGCGTGAGCTCGACGATCGCGAGTTCGCTACTTAAGGGATCAGCGGGCACGACCGTGACAGCCACGACCGCGACGACGACGACGACGGCGGCAACGACGATTACTACGATAGCGACGATGACAACGACGATGGCGACGACGACGGGGACGACGACGGGGACGACGACGACGACGACGCCGGCAACGACGACGACGACGACGACGACGACGACGACGACGACGACGACGACAACAACAACAACAACAACAAAAATAATAACAGCGACGTCGAGTGCATCGATATTTGGTAACTCGGTCGCCCCTGCCACGAGCTCCATATTTAATCCAGGCGCGGTCGGGAGCGGCTCTTCCGTCTTCGGCTCAAACAACGCTCCCACTAGCTCGATCTTCGGCATCGGCGGCGTGGCCGCGCAGCCCACAGCCGGAGGTTTATTCGGCGCGGGAGTGGCGGCTACGGGCGCGAGCACCGGCGGCTCCATCTTCGGTGCACCGGCAGCCATGGGTGCCGGTACGTCGATGTTCGGTGGGACGGCCGCTGCAACCGGTACCGTAATGGGCTCGTCCTCGGTATTTGGCCAGCCCTCGACATTCGGCGCCAAGCCGGTGTTTGGGTCGACGGGAGTCGACTTTGGCGCAGCCGCGAAGACGGGCTTCGCCACTGGATTCAACTCGCCGCCGACTTTCAACGCTACCCCGGGTGCAGGTAAAATTAGCTCACGTTCGACTCTTAGCTTCCTTGGCTTGATTCCGGGTAGTCGTTAGATCGCCGACGACGGATAGGTGCCAAACTCCTATTCCGCTACGTAGCTGTGAAATTTCCGATAGAAGACAGTCGATCCATATAAAATGGAGTTTTCTCTTGTAATTGTTGATGAATTGACGATGCGAGAAGCTGCGAAGGATTGTATTTTTAATTTGAATGTCATTAAGCACGAGATCTCTATCGCTATATCTCAGAAATTAAAATTCATCGTTAAAATGATGATGAAAACGAGTAGGCTAAATGACAAAACGGCCAAATTTATTCTTGAAATGGCTTGAAATATTAGACTATCCCCTTTCAATTATTGTATCCATAACAACAATGACGAGGCAAATGAACGGTGGCACTCCCAAATATTAATAAATGATGAAAAATGTTGATTAAATGTCTTGTCGGTTTTATGATATGTTTTATCATAGTCGCCATAGTCGTTGTCGTTAACATTAACAAATGATTTTTATTTATTTTTTGTACATCCAAAGTCTTATTAAAACATTAAAAGGCTTCATATTTTTTATCTTAGTATTCGGAAGCCCGTCACTTCTTGGAACAGGATCACCAGTAGCTGGCAGCAGTCCTAATAAAGTTTTTGGCAGTAGCACTTTCGAAGCGTTGGGGGCCCAATCGGGAGGACTCTCGTTCGATAGCTTAGCTCAAAAGACTCCAGGATCAGAGAAACCTCAGGCTTTCCAAGGGTAAGAAAAGGCGTTGGCTCCTCAAATGTCGATTTATTTATCATTCTCTATTTCGTGTGTGATTGCGAAATGTTTTTTCTTTTTAGATCAAGTTCCTTCTCCAGCTGGCGATAATGTTATACGTAATTTTTATAAATATGCTCGATTAAGAAGTAGGCTTGGCTTGTTTTGTAAGAAATAAATAAGAATGTGTGTGTATATATATATATATATATATATATATATATATATATATATTCCTGACGCTACAATCATTAATTACCATTAACAGGATTTCATTAATAAAACCTGGAAATGAAAGACAAATAAAAGAAAAATGAGCGGACGAAGTAAGGGAAGTAAACAAATCAATAATGGGCATTTGCATGCTGAGCTTTGGTTTTTTAATTTTTTAATAAAAAAAAAGAAAAAAAGATAGATAATGTGTCGATGAAATCGGTTTATCGATAATATACAAAATTATACACAGCAGTCTACGTTCGACTTCGTAAAATTAAATGCCTCTCTTCACTTGCTTGGGTGAAATGGATATTTTCGTGGGCTTGCACAAGTCTATCACACAGGGATCATCCAAGGGCTGATGCGTGCAGGGGGTATCAGACGGCACGAGTAACGCTATGGAAACATCTATAGAGCAGGCTTCCATCCATACTTGGTGTGACAGGAGTACCGTCGTTCGCAGTCTGTAATTATTTGACTTTTCGCTGTTCTGAATTTTCAAATCCGACTTGCGTGGCAATAGCAGCTGAACTTTCTGATCCGGATGGCGTAACTTGATCCTCACCGCACTTGGATCGCGAAGATTTAGTATTTTAGCCGTCATTGGGATACCTAAAAACATTAACGAAACCATTAAAGTCAAATGCATTAAACGAAATTATTAATTAACTTCATTGATCTTTATCTTTTCTAATTTACTTTAATTGTCTTTAACTATTTTATTGTATTTTCTTTCTTTTGCATATTTCCTTCGTGATTCGTAATATTCAATCGATACTTCAATAAAAAGGTTTAAATTATAATTTTCGGTTTTCATAAGACTATATAATAATCATTAAATTTTAATGCTAATATTATTCATCGATTGATTAATAATCAAACAAACAAAACAAAACAAAAAAAAAAAACAAAAAAAAAACTCAAACATCCATTATCCAATAAAGATGCATTTTAGCAATTTCTTTCAATTTAATTTCTATGTTATGAGAATTCTAAACATTTGCTTTTAATTATATCAAATTTTAATAAAAATGGCGATTGCTTAATTTGGACGGTTATCGGTAGATCGATCGATGTATAAAACGAGACGAGAACATATCAACGGATTGGTTAATTGGTTTATTGGTTAATTCGTAAATAGGCAATCGATAGGCAGGAAGGGAAGTAGTTACGAGACAGAAGTATCGAAACAGCCGCGAGGAACGCCGCACGCGAAGTAAGGAAGATAATAGAAGTGCGGGAGGTGGCGTCGCAAATTTAAGACTTTTGCAACGCTTGATTTACCGATGCTCTCGATTACGTACAAAGTCCATCTGGACGAACGAGGATCAACTGCGTCTAGGTGCACATTAGTATTATCTAAAGATAATAATCTAAAGATAATTCATACGATTAGAATTCTCTCAATACATTTCTTAGATCGAATGGCGCTATAATTCAAATACCCCCCCCCCTCTCTCTCTCTCTCTGGCTCTCGCTCTATATTTATAATATTGTAAATCGTCGGCTTGTGTGTGTAATAAACTGTACTCGAAATTTAATATAAATTTGACTGCAATAATAAGACATTGTGTGTCGCCAAGTTGAATAATAATACTAAATATATAAATGTGGTTTAATGAACTTGGGATAACTTATTGAATTAAAATAAACGAGTCGATAAAATTAATAGGGCCTGATGACGTAACGCGGCTCATTAACGTCCGAATTAATTTCCTCGAACAATGAGAACGAGCAAATCTAATAAAACTATCGTTACATATCGTTATTGCCGATAAAATTGAAAAACTAAACTGTGGGTCTAAGAAGTTTTTCCGAGATCTTAATTGCTTATGAAGATGGTGTCAATTTTATTGATTATATATTATAATAAAGTAAAAGCAACCGTCCGAATATCATTTGAACTGTGAAGAACAGTTGGCAGAAAAGTTGAAGAAATTGGAGCAAAAGAGACGCGTCGTCTTTGTATAAATAAAACATTAATTTCCTAATAGTTTAAATAGTACGGACACTAACTGTGTGCTAAACTGCAACGTATTTAAATAATAAGCAGTGAATAAAATTAATAATTTACATAAGTAAAATGAAAACTATATTTTTGTGATACCGTTTCGTTAGACCTGTTCTCCTTCAATGGCTTAACCGATAATTGGGGAAAATGAGCATTGGGCCCCATTGCCAGACCTAATGACTGAACTGAATATAAGTAGAAAGGGACGTAGTTGGTATACCTAATATGAGACCACCCGTAAACTTGAGGACCGTGTCGGAATCACTGACGGGCTCTTCGATGATAGCCTGGCAATATTTGGTCGAGGGCGACGGCCTTGGAAGCTTCTCTTCGCCCTTCAATGGAATGTTGACGAGTAAGGGCAAGAGGAGTCTCATGAGAGTTCCAGGCTTCGCTTCGCCGAGCGCTGGTAATTGATGGACCAGAGCTTTCGAAAATGGTGGTAATTTCGAAGCGTCTTGTGGCAAAGAATCCGTCTCCGCGAGAAATTGACGAGCAAGGGATAAAGCACTTCCGGTATCGCTGTTTGTCGCCCGGATCAAATCCAATGCCAAAGCCTTCAGCCACATGTCGTTGGCTAAAGTCATCTCGTTATCTCCAAGGCCAATGAATAATCGTAGCAATCTAAGGAAAAAATTTACTATTTTTAGAAGAAGCCTTTGTACATCTGTATTTTTCTTCTCGCTCTATGGTTAAAAAAAAAAAAAAAAAAAACAACAACAACAACAACAAAAAACAACAAAAAAAACGTATTTTCATAGATATGGTGATAATATTTGTGCAAATACGTGAGAATGACGAAACTAACCGAGCATTATTAAATAAAAAAAAAAAAAAACAAAAAAAAAAAAACAATAATCAACGTGTAATGAATATCATTATTATTCTTCTTTTTTTTTTTTTTATAATGTACGAAATATTACGATGCGTTCGCTTACTGTTGTGAATACTTGTGGAGTAACGTAATTTTATTTTTGATATTTGACGAAGTATTGGAGATCGATGTATTGGATGGAATTGTGAATTCCTTGATTATCGATCGTAATAAAAGTAAACAGCGTATGTATAAGGCCGAAAATCTAGCGACGCCTTCCATTCGTAAATCCATCTCGGCTAATCTGTCCAAATCCGATGCCGCTGCGTCCAATAGTTGAGTATACACTCTACCACCGGGTCTTGCATTCTCCACGGCAGTAATCATTTTTTCTAAAAATTTTCTAGCGTTTTCATCTTCGATTTCCTCGTCGATTAATTTCTCGTCTATTCGACCAGTACTGCTGATGAGCAGTGCAGGCTTCAGTCTCGGTACCAAATGCGGCATGGTATCTCGAAGGTAGTGATAATGTTTGACTGCATGATGTGTGAAAAGAGAATGCATACTTGGACAGTGAGCAGCGGCATTGAATATAAGTACCAGCACGCTGACATCTATGCATAAATTAGTAAAGGAAAATAAAATCTTTTATATATTGCATTTATTACTATGCGTGTGCCTGTATCGTCTCGCTCGCTCTCTCTCTCTCTCTCTCTCTCTCTCTTTATGTGCGTGCGTGTGTGCGTGTGTGCGCGCGCGCGTGTCTCTGTATGTGTAATTATTAGGAAATATTAAAGGTATTTCAGTGATATTGTGCAACACAAAGGTTTTTTTTCTTTTTTCCGACATTATTTGAAATAAAAGGATACAAGCTGGCATAGCGACGTTTGGCTCGGGTGTATCTAGAAATGGATGTTGTCCCAATAATTGAGGCACGAGTGGTAATGTTAAATAAGGATGCGATGCACCCATCGACGCTAAACAATTATATATACTATCTTGATCTTGAGGATAACGACTTAAATTATCGAGTAGGCGTGTAACACACATATGCAAACAGATTTTCGTAGCTAAACGGCTTGCTCCCAATGTCGTGTGCAGACCTTCTCTAACTTCGCCAGAAAAATCTTCGAGAGCTCCTAAAATCGTTTCGAGTTGGTCTTCGCTCAGAGTAACACTAGCCGACATTTTTCTTAATGACTCTATAGCCTTCAAGCGTACATCTTGAATTTCATCATTGAACATGTCTACCATAAATTCTAGGGAAATATGTGCGATACCCGGTCTCTCTAATGATAATGCGCACAATGATTCGACAGCTGCTGTTCTTACCTAAAATTTTTAATTCGTCAAATAGTTTAGCGAATGAATGGGATTATCTAATGGACATAAAGCCTTTAATTAAATATTACTTCCAAAAATTCATCCTCAAGACCATGAATAAATGCGCCACAGGTATTTATTCCAGTCCTCTCTTCGACGCCAAGACCTTCGTCTTCGACTCGTATTTGCTTTTTATCCAATGCTTGTTCTATATGACGACGCGACACACCTTTTAACGAGCCAAGTAAAGACATTGCCAAAGCTCTTACTCGTGGAGATAGGTCCCCCATAAGGCCACATATCTTACAAAATGCACTGTCCACCATTCGCATGTCCTCGACAAAGTCCCTTCCTCCGGATATCATACTAGCAAGCACAGATAATAGTTTGACAATACATGTAAAATTATGATAAATTTAAGGACAGAAATTTTCCATGTCAATGAAAGAGTATGAAAATTAATTATCTTAAACTGGCAAAATTACTGGTCATTAAAATCATTAAAACAACGATTTTAAATGTGATTTTTAAGCCTATTACTTACTTTTCAGGATATTCATTTCCCAACAGCCAAATTAATTTTAAAACAGCCCGCCTAACTATTTCGTAATCGTCGCGTAAGCATTGACAAGCTTCTTGAAAGAAACTTGCGGGAAGGCGACAACCTCTGTGTAAATGAAGTTCTGCCATTGTTTCAAACGCTTGTGCCCTCACTCTTGGATCTTGCGACTTGGCATAATTATTGACTAAAACCAAAGTATCGTCGACTGCGTTAGCAGATAAATAACGACCTATTATGGATAGGCATCTCGTCTGAACGCCATGCCAAGTATCTGCTAAATGATCCCTGGCAATTTTTAAAACTAACATCCTACGAATAATATTATTCAGATTAGCTTAATATTTCATTACATCGACCATGTTATAATTGCAATGTATACCTATTATATTCTCCTAATTTTAACAGCGTGGCAAGACCTTGACTCTTCACCCTATGCGACTCTTCATTTTTTAAGAGATTCGCCGATTCATTTATAATTTGTGCTTTTTCTACCGAATCGTGGGTTAATTCACCCAATTCAGCAAAGACCCAAAGAATTTTTGCTCGAACCGCAGCCTCTTGTTCGATAGTAAATCTTTCCGACAACTTTCTAACTACAGTTGGAATATCGTCGAGAGCCATTTGTCCAATGGTATCCGATATTCGAACCAGTAACTGTAAAGCATCGTTACCACTTTTACATTTTTCTAAACATTCTACGTAAGCCAGCGCCGAACTCCCTTTACTGATTGAACCATTCTTTCCACTACCAGACGATAAGAGCCTTAAAGTCTTGAGACGTTTAATAGGTGGCTCTGTTGTTATTACCTGTTAAAATATATATTGTAACATTAAACATTAATATTATAAAAATTACTAATATGTTATTGCTTACTTGACTCTGGTTAAATTCAGCTAAAACTCTTTTTTTCATCAATGCAGCCATTATTTAAAATTTAACGATTATTGTATAATAAATTTTAATGAACCGCATCGATTTAAGATTAAATGTGTATATATATATATATATATATATATATATATATATATATATATATATATATATATATATAATATATATATATATATTACTTCGCACTTTTATATATCATTATAAACCTTATATAAAAGTAGATCAAATATAATTGTATAAGGTTATGTTATTCAACATAGCAAAGTATATAGACTAGATGAATATATTGACTTTATTTTTAATTTAATCGTAACCCTCTAATTAATACTGCTTATTCCAATAATTTTAAACAATTGTATTTTATTATTTATCACCAATCTAAATTTACTTTTAAATACCTAAACTCAAGTCTATCGTACAGTACGATATACAAGCCGATATATGAAAACAATACACACGTATATAAAATGTGCACCGTACCGTATGCATGTGTGTTTGTAACACAATCAATCACAAAGCGGATAATGAAGAATCAAGGAACATTCTCATCCAAAATTTAAATATAACATTTAAATTGAGCTATAACTGAGTTAATCAATTACTTGACAATGGAAATGTAATATCGAAAAAATCATAAAATATAATGTACAATGAAATTAATATATGACTCCGGATATTGTATATCAATATCAAGTGTATTTAGATTATCGAAATAAAATGTAAAAAACAATTATTCATAATTAATTGTAATAGAATTTAATTTTTTAAATATTGCGTCTTTAATTGATTAATATATAGGCAACTTATATATATATATATATATATATATATATATATAAATAAAAATAAAATAAAATGAATAAATAAATACATATTATAACGTGTTTTCTTTTCTCATTAAAAACGAATACAATTTATACAATTTCTTTAACATTGTGCTCATAGTTCTCTTATGCATTTTTTCACGCTTAAAATGTAAATTAAAAATAAAAATAAGACAAATACTTCTAATTAAGAAGTTGTTAAGTCTTGTTAATTCTCATAATTTGGTATGCTCTCTATCTAATTTATTTGAAAAAAAAAAAAAAATCGACATTACAACAAACGCAGTATACCCGATAGCGTTATAAATAGTAAAGAATAGCAAAAAGAAGAAAATTAAGGTAATTATATTATAGGTAATTGTGTTACTTTGTATTGTCTCGGTCTTCGTCTAAATAGTTACTTGAATTTGAAACTACGATAACTATTATCTATGTTTTAAGTAAATTACATTACTTATTTATCTTTAAATTCAATCAAGGCTTTGTTTCAATAAGAAAAGTAATTTTAATTTAACATTAGTTTAACATTAATTTAACATTCTATACGAATTGTATTATTAGGAATACCAATGAAATGTCGCTACAATAATCGCATTCGATAATTTCATTTACCCAAGACGCATCTATAACAATAACAATAACAATAACAATAACAATAATAATAGATACTTTGGATTTTGCAAATAGAACTCAAGAAGCGATATCTCATTACATTGTACTTTTAATATTATAAGTCTATGATGGAATCTATAATTTATCCTTAGCATTTCATACATCTTGAACTTGGCGGGAAATATTGTCAATATTGCCTTACTTACAATAATATACTGGACTATTAATATGTGTTGAGCCAACGATCAAGTCGTTTGCCTTTTGCCATTATTTTAACATTGAAAATACTCGTTAGTTATCCTATTAGCCACTAGTAGAATAATATTTGATTGCACGAAACAATCGAACGTTAAAATCTCAATTGTTAATTAAAGTCGTTATTATTTGCTGAGGGCCGGCCTTTATTTTATTTAATTATTGCGCCTATAGCAAAGTAAATATAATGAAAAATGTCTTTGAACGAATAATTTCGAATTTCCGTATAACATGCGGCTTAACAATAAAGTTAAATGCGGCCTGAAGTGATGGTCCGTTCTTTGTGGGGTGGGGGTATCTGGCATAAGTCATCTAGCCAATGTAGGCATTATTGTCAAGGAGACTCGACATTTAATCAACATGGCCGTCGAGATCGATAAAGAAATGTCAAGATATGCACATCAACATAATTTATCTGTATCATCTTACTTTAATATAACAGATTTCATCAATTCTCATAATTAATATAGATAGTTTCATTATGCTGAGCGCCTATACGATTGGCTAATTTTCTTTGGAAAATGTTATTCAAGCGATTTAGAATTTAGAGCGATATAGTTAAGTGATAAAACGAAAATTATCTAAATTGTTGATTGTAAAATTCATTGAAGCTGATTTGTAAATGATGCCATTAGATGAATGGTACGTAGTATAGTACTACAAGGATTCACTGCTTGCAGATATTTTACAAGAATTTCAAAAATCTCCCAATGTCATGCTTTTATTGTCTGCTAGATAAACCTGTAAGTTCTCATAATATTGTAGAACAAAATAGTTCTGCAGTAATATTTTTAATTTATCCATCGCTTTAAAGAGCTTCGTACGATTCCAATAATGACTATTTATCGTTGCTAATTCTATGTTTCTCTTTAATTTTAGAAGGATAATAGAAAAGAATCTCCGTCTTTCATTAGCTGTACACTAGTATGGGCATTTTTTATATCATTTTAATATTCGTAATAGCATTTATTTCTGGAATAATATCTGTACTCTTGTTGGAATTTTATATTTTTAAAAAATATTTTGAAACTGGACTGGAGGCGACACCGCCAAAACACCCAACGTTACCCGGTGCAGCAAAGTTGCCCGAAGAATTAGTCAATCAAGTTAAAGAGCAGGGGCCTAATTTTATAACTGGTTCGCCTCGTCAAAGCCTGTCACAAGGAAACGAGAATTTAGCATTAAATTTAACGTTACAATTTCTTTTTAACGAATTACGGAATGCAGAGCGCGTTCGTCTATGGCTTTATCGTAAGTTAAACAATGAGTTCAAAGAACTTCTTCATCAATCCAGTACAGGAAAGCTATTTGATAGCGTACAGGTACGTGATGCGTAACCAATTATAATCATAATCTATTGATTGAATCGAGATTGAATCATCGATGTTTGTAGTTGAGAGACTTGAATCTTGGCAATCACTTCCCCACCATTAAAGGCTTAGACGTAGCTGAAGCTAAAATATGTGCAGACACAGGCTTATTAGAAACATTGGATCTTTGCTTAGACCTGCATTATTCGGGAAACTTCCAAATGTCAATAGATGTGAAAATGTTGTTGGGCAAAACGGCTTATTTATCACTTCAAGGTACAATAAATTTCTTATATACACATAGGACAGAACCAATATGAACGTTTAATAAAAATTATTGATACATATATACAAAAACACACGCACACAGAGACACACACGCACGTACGCACGCACACGCATACACACAAGTATAACGCACACGTATGCAATTAATGTACATATGTATATATATATATATATATATATATTTATATAAATAAATAATATTTTTAGTAAAAAGATTAACTGGGAAAGCAAGGCTTCAATTTACACGAGTTCCGTACACACATTGGTCTCTCAGCTTTTATACAGAACCAGTTTTAGAATTAGAAGTGCATTCTCAATTTCAGGGACGGCAATTGCAGCCCCAAATAATTTCCCTCATTACAAGTCAAATTCGTAGAGCTATTCGTCGAAAGCATACTCTGCCCCGTTACAAAATTCGTTACAAACCATTCTTCCGTAGACTTAATGATGAAGATATCGACTTATCAGAAGTAAGACCTCTATTTTCTACAATTACCATTTGACATCGACAGTATTAACGAACAATTGTTTTTAATCCAAACTTAATATTAATTTTTCTATTAAGGTCTCGGTAACTCATCTGACTCCAGGATTTCTAGATGTTACTTTAATCGAAGTGTCCCGTTTGAACATTGACCTAAGCTCAATGAGCGTCGATGATCTGTCTCAAATTGAGATTTATTGTACCCTCAGTGTTGATGCAACACCATGGGTGTGTCTTACACAATACGCTGGTATTCCTTATATGATATTGGATCTGATAATTAGTAAAGTTAGTTGCCAGCAGCTTGGAGTTGTGTTTAAGCAAGAAAATATCGCGGAGATGGGCCAAAATTGTGTGATTGTGGAAACAATCGTATCGGGTAGTCCAGCGGCAATAGCCGAAATGAAGAAAGGCGACGTAATCGTAGCTGTGAATGGTAAAAAAGTTACCAACATGAATCAGATTGCGAAATTGTTGAAAAGCGCTGCGCAACGACGCTTTATAATACGCGTGGAGAGAAAATTTTCCATTGTAGATTGGGAGAGAAGCAGCTTGTCCAAGTCAGATATGGATAGAACATTTGAGAAATTTCAGGTCAAACGATTGTCGGCGAACAAAATTGATTTGCTCAATGTCGACGACAGCTTCAAATCTATAAAATTCTCAGATTTAAAAGACTGCGAAATGGAGACGTTAGAGAAAAATGAGATTAGTAGTAAATTGTTCAAGCGAAGGAAGAGTAGTAGCGTCCATACTATCGTTGACGACACGATGCAAGTTTTCGAAACACCGTCGAGGCGAATTTCGACTACGTCATCCAGCTCGTCAGGCACGTCTAATATTGCACAGTTTTTTAATATTAACGACCTAAGCAGCTTCAATCTGCCAGATTTGTATTATACGAGTAAGGAGAAGGGATTTGCTAACTTAATTTCGTTTGAAGAAAAACGATGCTTTCAAATCGATTCGGAACATCAGTACTTGAATATTGGAGTTTGGGCAAAAGTCAAAGGCAGCGAAGTTCAACAAAAACTATTGGGATACATTAATTCACCGATTAAATTAATTTTAACCCAATGCTCGACATCGTCAACTGGTTATAGCTTAAAGAGTCACGCGTTGCTGCCTCCAGACTCCAGAAGTTGGTTTCAATTATTTACCGTCGATCACACTCATTTCTCTTAACAAAATTCATTTATCTATTTTTCTTTCTTTTTTTTTTTTTTTTTTTTTTTTTTTTTTTTTTGCTTTTTTATTTGCATTGCGCAGCAACACCAGATGCCTCTAATTTTAAACTGCACGGATATTCTGGATTCGATCCATCGCTGTGTTATGGCGATATTTTATTATCTTACGTCTGGGCTTCAAACCGTTCGACTCAACCTACTGCCGATTGCAATAAAAAATGTGTCGAGGAGACGATTAAATTGCAGACTGTTTCGTTGGAAGACAACGCGAACAAAAAGTCACACGATTTCATTAGAACGCACTTTCACAGGGCCACTCATTGTGACTTTTGCACCAAAAAGGTACACGATTTTTCCACTTATGCTCACAATAATTATGCGACAAACTTATATTTTAAAATGCATATGTCATGGAAGATTTCGATCGGATTATTTATTCCATAATTATTGTCAATAAAATTTTCATGCAAATGTAAATTGGAGTTCTCGTTGTAACTGAAGTAAAAGAAGTAAAAGAATGTAAAAGAAGCCAAACAAGCGCGACCATTTCACAAAGTACTAAACTTTCCTAGTTTCTCTGTTGTTTATACTGCAAAAAAAAAAAAAAAAAAAAAGAAGAAAAAAGAAAAAAAAAGAAAAAAAAAAGAAGAAGAAAAAAGAAGACAGTCTAACATAAGACACATTGTCAGACAAATTTCCTTAATCAATGAATTAATCAAAATTAATGTTTAAAACTTTCCCATCGCGATAACTCGAAATACCACATCGGGGCTATATTTTCTTCTTCTTCAAAAACTAATGTTACATAAGCACACCGCAAAGTTCTCTTAATCCGAGCATAAACATTGCCGGAGTATGCGAAACGTTCGGAACGATAAAAAAAAAAAGTTCAAAAAAGTAAAATAACGAGCGATAAATAATGAAACGAGGAGGGAGTTAACGAGCTCCGATCGATCGACGTTGCGCTTACATCCTCGTCGCGGCAAAGCTCCGAGGTATCATAATGGCATTCTCAAAAGGCAGCATGCAATTCGCAGATTTGGCTAAAGGACGCGGTGCAGTGCCGTGACTGCGGAATGGTGTGCCACAAGAAGTGCGAGGTCCGTTGCCAGTCGTCCAACACCTGCGGCGCCGAATGTCTCACGGCGATGGCTTTCGAGACCGACGAGGTCGAGTCGGGGCCCGAAATATCGCTCACGTCTTACGAAGAGAACGTTCAGGTACTGGGAAATTATTAGGCTCGAACGACACATAAACACATAAACAAACAGAAACAAACAAACAGACAGTCATTTTTACAAGAGTACAGTCAATTTACAATCGAGCCACCAATTATTATTGTTATTAATATATGTATGTATATATATAAGATTTATATCTAGCTGTTGTTGAAGGGTAATATAAAAGTAAGCATATCCCCGAGACTCGAGTGCGCCGAGTTCGGACAGCACGACATGTACATTATTAACAAAATAGCAGAGTATTAAGTATTTTTGCATGACGTTGGATTAGCCAAACGAAATAGGAATCTGCGCGTAAAGTACGGTCTTTATCTTTAACCAATGTATCGGTAATTTTTAGACGTGGTACAAACAATACGTTTTTACTAAATAATTCGAGGTTGTCATATACGAAGGATTCGTCGGCCATTCGGTCATTTTTGCTTTATGAAGCGATAAAAATGTAGATAAAGTTCGTTTAATTGTCTTTTAGTCCTTTTTATCAAAGATCAATCTAGTCGGATATGGTGAACGCAGGAAGGATTTTTACGAAGCTATTTGTCCTCTAGTCAATAGACAATACATACAGACATACACACACACAATATATATATATAAAAGTAGAAAATACATATTTTTTCGTGTGTATGCTAAGGAATTTGAAACGATTTAGTTAATGTGCACTAGTGTATTAATAATGATAAATCGTTCATAATCAATTGTATATAAAAACTAGTTGTTAACGAAAGCATGAATTATCACTGTTATAGACAATAAAAAATAAAACAACAACAACAAAACAAAAACAAAAAACAAAAACAAAAACAAAAAAAACAAAAAAACAGGAAGAAGAAAAAAAAGAGAAAAAACACTGTGTGAACAATTGAATTTCGCGAGGGTGAAGGTTTCCTTTGTAGACTTGCACCCACTCTTCCTAAATAATTAACATTATTACGAAAACATTCCTAAAATATGAAAAAGAGTTTGATTTCAATAATAATAGCTTAATTAATAATCTTCGATTGATAAGTAGATGAATTTTTACAAATGTATTTGCAAACATGATTTTTCAACATATCCCGTTAAAAAATGCAAAATAATGTGATTAAAATTATATGGGAATAAAGCTTTAATATACTTAGTCATACATGCGTCATAATAAAACTCGTAATTTTAATCGAATGAAATTCGTAATTTCATTTCAAAAGTATTATTTTAATTTCTCGTTTACGTAAATATAAATTCAATAGCTATGTTTTACGAGATGCTTTATTTGTTAGAATTTTATTTACACGTAATAAATATATTAAGAAAACGTTCATGGTAATATTTATTTTATTCCTTGTCATTATTATTATGCATACTATCGAATAACACGTATTTCATATTTATTAGGAAATAAAGCAAATCATTCATTCTTTATTTAAGACATGTGACATAAACCCAAGAGATTAGTAAATTATTTTAAGTTATGTATTTGTTCATGTACGAGGTTTTCAAATGCATTTCAAAATTCTTAGGAAAGTACACGGTACAAAGCTACATGGTATTCGGGCACATTAAACAAAAACTCACATTTGCCGTCGTCGAAAAATAATCTTGGCGCAACGAGGCTTGACAAGGCCAATGAAAATTACAATGACATTATTATCATAAAAAGACAAAAAGGAAGAAAAAAAAAAAAAATTCATTACCTCGATGAAACTTTTAAGAATGTTTCTTGTAACGTTTACAAGCAATATAAATGTGCATATATACGCATACGTGTGCGCACGTACGTCCATACATCCGCGTATGCACATACTTATTTGCACATTTATACGCGTATATACGTGAATAAGAATGAGAAAACGGTGGACAGGAGGAAATGTAATGAATGTAAGGATAAAATGGAAAATTTATTGACGTCGGACTGAGTCGTCGTGGATCAACTCGAGCTACTGGCCACTAACATGAACTGATTGAATTAGGGCGCGAGTATGACGGCTATGAAGGCCACCATTACTAACACGCTTCTGGGCCTGAAGAAGGCCGGAAGTACAAGTTGCCTGGCCCCACCGAATACTGGCATTGGTCTGGCATCCAGAAGCCTACCCCCAAGCCCCTGCGCATCCCGCAAGGTAGAGCCCGATGATGCACGTATGCTTCCGCGGAAGAGAAAGCAGCCAAGATCTTGGGAAAGCTTCAATTCTTGATTTTCCTCTCTGCACTCGATCTCCACCACCTCCCCATCCTCCAATCCACCAATCCCCCTACCCCCGACCGTCACTTTCTTTCCCATTCGCGTGCCATCACACCCGTATACACAAAACTTATTTTATCCATCAACGGCGTTCCCGTTCGTTTATCCTCTTCTACGATCCGTAAAGAATAAACATCCTCTATGCGCCCAACCAACTTGCACGTACTTTGCCACTCACTCTTTATTCCATTTCATTTACGCAGAGTTCACTTTTATGCCTAAAGTCGATAATGAACTTTAAATGGAGTTAGGGCACGCTGCAATCAATGATTACTCAACGATCAAATTTAATCAAGATCAATACGATTGAATATACGATGATGCAAAGATTCGATTTTACCTTTTCTCAAAACTGTCGCAAATCACGTGTCCCATATAAAACTTATCCGCTGCTTTCTTATTGAGCTGATTTTTTCTATTTAAATAATAATAATAATAATAATAATAATAATAATAATAATAATAATAATAATAATAATAATAAATTATATAGAAAGTTGTTTTCCGGATAATTTATGGTTACTCTTAATGTTAAAATTCGCAAACACAATGTAATTGAAATAAAAGAATTACCTACTACATGGTAACTATTATTATAATTTTAATAGTAATGTTTTTAAACGATATACACAAGTTTAATAATTCATTTAATTTTTCGAAAAATTATAATTTTCATGCTTTTTCAATAATTTCGAGATTTTTTTTTTTTTTATATTGAAGTTGTTTGTATGAACTTTAACGAGAATTTCAATTTAATGGTTCAAATAAAAAAAGAAAAAAAAAAAAAAAAAAAAAAAAAAAAAAATTAAAAAAATTATATTTAATAATAAAAGTAGAAATGTTTTCCAATAATACATTACTATTCAATATTGTATGTTATAATGATAAATGTAATTATATTAATAAAGGCAGTATATTCCACAAATGTACTTGAATTTTACTTAAATAGCGTGTTTGTAAAATTAAAAATATATATATATATATATATATAGAAGTTTTATTTTGTTTTGTTTTATTTCGTTTTGTTATTTAAGTAAACAGCTAGATTGCCTTTTGAGTAATTATTGAAAGAAGTATAAATTTAAAAATTGACTTGATTGTATTTGTATCATATTTCCTTTTAACGCTTCATTATCACTGGTCTAACCTTACCAATTAATCTATAATCCTTAAAGTAACGGACAATCAATATCTTGGCGTCTCTTCTCTTGTTTTCGTAATTCTGATTGTCTGTGTTTATAAATTTTCACGACTGTGTTGTATTCTGCATCGTTACTTATAATTTATTCTTAATTATTGCTTTTGTCTCACATCATTATAAAGCAATATTTAAAAAGTTCGCTTGATCTGCTTGTTGATTAGATGTTTGAAAAAAAAAAAAGAAAAAAAAAAGAAAAAAAAGAAAATAAAATGTGCTGATATTTGTGACCTCACTATTACGCTTTTTTATAACACCGAATGTATTCCCGCCAGTAGGAATTGAATTGAATTCAGCCATGATTATATTAATTCATAGATCGAGATCTTACAGTGCTTTTAATTAGAAAACATACGCTTCTTTACAATACAATTGATTATTATAATAATTTGCAGCAGTAGAGTGAACAAGAGTATAATGTATAATTACTTATGCTTGCTTCTACGATCATTAAAACAAAAACAAAACAAAAAAAAAAAAATAAACAAAAAATCATTAGCAATACGTGTATATAAGCTATCGTTTTTATAAAGAAAATCAATTTTCATACATTCATTAGCAAATCAGCAACAGAGTTAGCAACTTCATTACTCATCCATCATTTTGCACCTCTTACGCAACACATACTTTATTTTAAATCTCATTTCACAATGTTTACATTTAAGAGTTTGGAATTTTCGTCTGTGCTTCTATTGCCTGATTGCGTTATTCATTACCTAACAATTTGTTTCTTCCATCAGTCACGGCTATACTCGACTATTCATTCGCTTACCGTTAACAACATAACGCTCATAACGATTAACAAAGTCGTGATCAATCGCCGAGTATCGTTAATCATAAATCACGCGCATATTAATGTACCGCGTAGTTGGCAATAATCATCAACCATCGCGAAATAAATACGAGCATCATGACAAAGTGCAAAGTGGTACATTGTCTTTGGTGTTTGGCACATCTTAATGGGCAATGCTCTTCACTTTAATTTTCTCATTTATCATAAAGTAATGGCTTGTAGCAAAAGAATTAATGGGAATCGTTAAAAAAAAAAAAAAAAAATTATTTAAAAGTATTTAAAAGTATGGATTTATCGAGCCTGCATTGCCATCTTCTCGCGTTAGAGTTTCTTAACGAGCAAAGGGGACAGAGGAAATGTGTAGCAGCTTTTAAAAATTTGAAAAATTTTAGTGAAATAATTTTGCATGGGCCAGCAGCCACAAGTCGCCATCACAACGAATTTTGATATGTTCATTATTGGGATGAAATTTAGAGCTCGCTGATTGGTGGTGGTGGTGGTGGTGGTGGTGGCGGCGGTGGTGGTGGCGGTGGTGGTGGCGGCGGTGGAGGCGTTGGTGGAGGCGTTGGTGGCGGCGGTGGTAGTGGCAGTGGTATTGGTGGCTTTGGTGTTGGTGGCGGTAGCGGTGGCGGTGGACTGGGCATAAGTCCAGACTTGCTGGAGGGTGCGGAGTCGAGCATCGTCATGCCCCTCATCGCCGGTGATTTTGACGACGTTTTAATGTTCAAGGCCAAGGAGACCGGTAAATTGCTCTACAAGAATTTGGAGCCGCGGAAACGCCTCGACACCATCAACACCATGGTAATTCATTTATTCGTCTTTTCATTTTGTTGTCCCTTGATTTTTTTTTTTCCGAGTCCCTTTTGACGTTTTTGCGTGGAGTAATAACCATTTCACGGTTTGCCATCTAATCTCCTTCATTAAAATCGAATTTCATTTATCCGAGATATATGTAATAAGTATAATAAAGAACATTTTATTGTACCATCGGCCCCTTAGCGTTATATGTTCGCTCATCCGTCACATCGATGTACAAGGGCGGATTCTTCGATTTTTCCCTAAACTTATGCATTGCCTTACAAAGTGAATTATTTTAGAAATTTATCCAAGGAGATGTCTTTACAGATAACGAAATTGAAGTCTTCGCTCGATACTGAAACTACCTCAAGGCAAGAATTGTCACAGAATGCCAGCTTGGAAAGCACAAAGTTGATAACCCAGAGCGACCAGAGGGTGAGGGCATTGAGCGTATTATTGCTACATTATTGTACCGGCCTACAACACGCCCAGGAGCAAATGAACATGGAGGAAAAGCAGTGTGAAAGCGATCGATTAAGTAGTCTTCGCGATTTCAAATAAAATACGACGGTTCGCAATCCACATGGCGTCACAATTTACGTGCCCACGTGCTCATCAACGCGAGTCAATTTTTCAATGTATAAGACGCGCGAGGACATTTTAAGAAATCGCATAAGGTTGGTATTGTTGTTGAAACGATGTATGTAGCATAAAGTGCATTATCGCGTGTATTTGATGTTTCGTAAAAGTACAATAAACGTGTGCTTGGATCGTTGGAGAATAACGAGAAGAAATTACTTCTCGAGCAATCGACGATATTTGCATTTGAAATTTTATTGTAGCTACCGTTCATATGTATAACATTTAAATTTATAACACCGCCAAAACACTTCAACGGCAGCCTAATAAACGTAAAACAAAAAATGAAAGGGGGAAAAAAAAAATGAAAAAAAACATGCACAAATCTACTATTTATAAATACTCCAGGGTGATGGGCACAGACGATCAATTAAGAATACACGATAAATGCAGCAAACTTCGGAGACTAATTGTTCATTAAATAACACCAAATAGTAAGACTTATATCAAGTGGAAATTTGATTAGAGTATTTGGACGTTAATTATTTGGACGTTGTTAGCTTTTTTTAGATTTGGCGAAAAGACTTTTATTGCATCAACAAAATAAAATAGCCGACATATTTACACACTTACAAAGAAAAACGTACAAAGAAAAGATATTATATACATTAGCTTTAAAACATTCGTTAGTTTAACGATATTTTTACTTTTTAATTGTAACTTTTAACATTATTTTCATTTATATGAATTGATTTGCGATATTATACGCTAGTCTAAAATTACAAATATATCCGTTGTAATGTACAATGAATGAGAAATATAAATTTTATATCGATTTAAAAATAAATAATTATTATAACAATAATAATAATAGTGAGCATAAGAATATCTTTACAAAGATGCAGATTTACATGCAAATCAACAAAGAATAGAGAGAGAGAGAGAGAGAGAGAGAGAGAGAGAGAGAGAGAGATTTATGATTTACGAGATATACGTTATTAGTTAAAAATATTTTGACTGATTATACAAATACTAATGTGTTCTTAAACATGTTTAATTGCTATTTTGAATTATCGCCTAAGAATATATTTTTATATTAAATACTAGAAATTTATATTTACAGAAAATAATATTTTACTATTATCAATAAGAAGGTTAAAAATATACCTGAATAGTAATGATTTTTTTTTTTTTTTTTTTTTTTTTTTTTTTAATTTTTTGTTGTCGTTGTTGTCATATAATGGATTAATTATTTATACTATTTATATTTTATTTTCATGATTTACTATAGAACTGCAGGAACATTGTAATTTTGCATTATTTATAATTAAGCGGTAGTATTGTTATACAATGCCTTGTATATGTTTGAAATAAGTAAATACTTGAGATTAAGATTTGCTGCGAAATATAATTATGTAAAACTGTAAAACTATATCAATATTTTGTGATTATTTGGTGGCCTAATGAAATGGAATCTATATAAACGAATAAAAGAATTTAAACAGAACAAATGCGTAAGAATAAATATTTGATGAGTATGTCGCGCTATTTAAAAAGCATGTCGATTAGACATAATCGGATTGATGAAACAATCAACAAGGCGAATGGAATTTTTGCCATTGCCCTTTATTATCAAATTTAGCCTATTGAGACAGTTGGATCACCTTGTCTTTGTCCATCATACAATATTCTCTAAACGTAAATCGAAAACGAAAGAAAAATTATAGCCAATCGCGTGCAAAAAAAAAAAAAAAAAAAAAAAAAAAAAAAAAACACGTACGCACAGTTTATTGTCGATGATATTACATTATGGGAAAACGTATGCACAGTAAATAATAAAAGTACTTTTACTATTTCCGTTATTATTAGAAAATCTAAAATAATTGTTCATTCCATATCCGATAATATTAAAAATGGCGTTTAACGCGCATACGAGTGAACGAACTTATTTCGTACTTTATGTCACCGTAATAATAATAATTATTACCTTTCTCATTCGCGAAATCTACCAAATAAGCTCGTAAATGTTCGATTACGTTATCAAAGGTGGAGAGAGAAAGTTGAGAGTGAGAGGGAAATTATTCGCGCACGATCCTTAAAATCATTCGTATGATCTTCGCAGATATTGTGCATGATAATGTTTAGTCAAGTAATTGCAAATAAAGCAGAAAATTGTCAATGCTATTTATTGGCCTTCGATCAAAAGATTCGGAGTTCGGATGTAACCTTAGAGGAAGAAAATTTTGTCAATCACTAAATTTATTGCGATTTATATTTTCTAACTAACGACATTGCAAATAGACAAATAGACAAATAGATATATTTATTATTTTATTTATTCGCTCTATTTGTGCGCATTATAGAATAGAGGACGATGATAGTTCGAAATATAATTATTGAATGTAGGAACATGAGTGTAGTGGATGGGTAAGCAAATTATACATGTGAACATCAATACAATTTATATTTGTAGCTAAAAGTCATAAAAAATTATTAAATCATTAAGATTTGTAGTAAATTAAAAGGTCGAAGGAATTTTAGTTTACGAAACGGCTCGTACTATGAAGGAGCTAAGAAATTATTCGCACTTTTTCTTTATAATTATATAATTATATTACCTGCACTTGCCGTTATTTCGGATATAAAGTCTACGTCACAATGGCTTTCATTCGCTAATGCTCGAATAGTTTTGCAATTGGCAAATGTAGCTTGAATGATGAAATAAAGTTTTATTCAAATTACAACGAATGTGATGTTGATTTTCATGAACTTATCAATGTACTCTACTTTACCCCTCATTAAAATTCATTTAATTATATCTTGTGGAATGTATTGGGACGGTGAGCCAATGACAAGACGTAGAGGCGATTAATGAACATACGAGTTTATGTTAAAATGGAAATTACAAACTCCAATCGTGGATCACGTCAATCGATACAAATGCTTTCATTGGGGGAAAAATAATGACAATTTACTTACGGCACACGTATTAAACGTAAATTATTTTAAGAAATTAGCAGTGGTGCACCATTAATTTGTCTATTCTTTAACGTAGAGGATGATTTTGTGTATTCTCATTTTTCTTATATTTAACATGCCAGAAAATGTAATAGAAATGGATTTTAATGACAAAGATAAATAAATAATAAAGGAAAATAATTAATAAGAAAAATTTTCAAGTATTATCTGGTACCCGGATAGTTTTACAATCAATTTAGAATAGAGTTTTACAATTTTCAATTCACACGAGAAACCAGGAAAAAGGAAGATAATAAAGCAAGAATCTTTGTATTCATTGCCAAAAAGAAAAAATTTTATTTACGAGTTTAAGAAATCGTTAGGAATTTATTTATAATGCATTTGTCGATGGAGAAGCAAACTTATTCGTTCATCGGTTCATTTATTTAAAGAGTCAAATTGTCTTTTACGCACAATATCGATTCACAAATATAATCTGTGCAATGATTATGTGGAAGACGTCGTTAATTGCAAAATTGCTTACATTCTATTGACACGGAAAAATAATTAAAGCTTTTAAACGAGTCGTTGTCGATGATGGATTGTAAATTTCTACAATTTAACAGAATTTATAATAATATCCCTAAAGGTATAAATAAACGCTCAATCGTCACCTCAACACTCTGGCTTAATATCTCAAAAATAGCACTTTTTCATTCTTTCGAGCAGCTCTTTATTTCCACGCAAACCAAGTGTTTTGTATTACAAATGTGCATAGAATAATTTTGTTTATCCAACCGATTAATAGATCACCCGTTACCACACGCACACGCACACGCACACAAAATTAGCCTCACACTATTTTTTATTATCTGTAATAAAAAGTTTAGTTTCCATAACGCTTGATCAATGCGTGCGCAACATTAGCATAGCCGACGTATCATCACACGTACTTTTTAAATAACAAATTTGTCGGTCGTGTGCGAGGTGGTGGGGAGGGTATTGGAATAATCGCGCGCGAGTCATTTGAATCATCACGCTCGATGAAAAAATAAAAGTTTCATTATGGAGAAATACGAAATCCAAAGTAATGGATATCTTTGGTCACGCGCTCGATATCAGAGGAACGATTAATTGCAATAACATCCGCACACGTCAAAGTGAAAACGTCGGTAAAAGTCTTGGGAGCGATTCACGTCGAGAAATCGAGCATAATGAATTGAAACAAACAGGCGGATCGCGAGTGCGAATCCGAGGTGATCGTGCGCGCACGCAACTGAGACAAGCAAAATGAGCGACGATTAGGCAACGGAGTCGCGCGCGCAATCAATGGGAACGCGCGAGCCGCTCGGATAAAGAGGAAAAGTAGGAAGGAGCGCGAAAATTGGAAATAATGCGCAAATCGCGTCCCCGCGAGCCCAAGGCTCCGTTAACGAGGAATGAGGTAGCGGATCCGAGGAGGCGGAATTGTGGGACGCTGCGGGGGATGTTATGGTGGTGGTAGTGGTGGTAGCGGTGGGTGGGGTGGGGGGGGGAGTACGAGCGTCACGTGCCACGTGGGAATTAATCATCGGACCATTTTCACCGGCGTGCTATCGTGCGTGCGTCCACTTTTTGCTCACGGCCCGCGGCTTCTCTCTTCTTCCACTGCATGGAGGAAGAGAGAAGAGAGGCATTTTCTTTTTTTTTTATACAGTGTTTCTTCCTTCCGGTCGAAGAGGCGATTTTTTTGCTTCTTCGCTTTCCTCCGGCCACTTATCCCCGGCCAGGCGTCGCTGCATTGTATCTCACTCTCACTTTCACTCTCACTCTGTCGCACGCTCCTCACGAGCCCATACGCTATTATTATTACCTTTGTTTTGCCTTTGGAATGATTTGAAACAGGTTCGGGCAGCCTTGTGACTCATGCCGATGATTCAACACGCATTTATCGTTTCTTACGATTCTGGTAAAGCGAGAAACGCAGCGCAAGCTCCACTGCTGCTAAAGGATCGCTCGATGATACGAACAACGAAAAAGCGTAA